CTTTAAAAAATAAAAAATAAAAACACTATTTTGCTTCTTAAAAACAAAATTGAATCACAAACACGAACATTCCATTCCTTGCAAGACCAGTTATCACGTATGACAGAGATGTTTGGGGCGATGAAAGCACTATAAAAGCGGGTGGTTCGTCACCTGCGCACGCGTGGGAATTGAGTCCCACGCGACGATAACAACAAACGCTAAAAACGCAAAGGCTCATGGGTAGAACGATTGTTTGTAAACAATGACACGCTATGGCTATCTGACGCATGCACAGATGACGACTCCCCGCTTTAAATCGGCAATTGGGGGTGTTCATCTCTCTGCAGATTGAACTTGAACATGGAATCTGTACATACACAGAAAAACTTGCAATCTATGGTGAACTGATGAGATACCCGGTTGACATATTTATTAAAAAAAAAATTAAATCAGTATTGGATCAAACACATTATCGAAGGATTCCTACACTGTTAATAAAAACAAGAGTAAAATTATAGTTTCAAACAATTGAGAAACAGTAGCATGGCCAAATAATATCTTCCAAAACGAGATTCTTTCAAAATCATGCATGAATAAATTTCACAAGAAATTAAATAAATAATTTAAAAACAGTAATAATAATTTCCCTGTCACAATGTTTTCATAAGCGTAGTACTGTCATAGTTAAAATGACTGAAGAGTGTTGCATATTCTTAAGTTTGGGTGTTAGCCCGTGCTAACCACTGTTTCCTTCCGTGCGTGAACGCAATTTTATGAGATTAGTTTAAATCTTAGCCAGTACTTCGTGTAGCATAATACTCAGGCTGCTAATGTACTAGAAAGATGTTGAATATTCTAGGTGTAGCTAATGCGGCAACAAGTTTGTTTTTGGAACTGGGTATATTTGGTTAAAACAATAAAATTGAAATTACGGTAATGTTCTCATTCGAACAAGACATGTGGGACATTATTGTAAAATTGTTTGGAGAGAAGCGTTGGTGGGGATCGTTTTTTTTTCTACAGTGAGACTAGCGCCCTCACTGTATTTGCAGAAATATGATGCATGTAAACCGTTGTTGAAATAAAGAACTACGGTAACCATGGCAATGACTAGCTATTGTACGGAGAACACGGCTTCTTTGAGAAGACGAGAAATTGTCATTATTTTGGTTAGTAACATGTCACCTTCACATTGGGGTTCCATTAAAATAATAAAAGACCAAATTTCCAGTCATGATCAGGCAAAAGTTCAAAGCAGAGGAAACCACGTCCAACTTGACGCAATGCTACGACTGTGGGACTTTAACCAATTTAAAAATATAATATAGATTCATTTTTCTTGATAACGTGAACCTCAGTGATTATTTGTTACAATGTATCTGTTCCCTGCATCTGAATCTAATCCACGGTACGGTTTTCCATGTTTTGACGTAGGTGGCGTCACATTGTTACTCCTCCAGCGAATGTACCTTTGCTACATGACACAGGAAACCAACAGGAACGTTGATATTGTTGATTTCTGGTGTCAACCAAATATCAAACAAATACGTCAACATAGGAGTGCCCGTGCGTACGTTTTTTTATCACGTGACCGTTTGTCAAGTGTGAGGCTGCGTCACGGGTCTGATCTGTGACCAGAGTGTGAGTCTCAGTTCTGATTACAAAAAAAGGTATATAATTATCTAGTTTGGGTAGCCTCCAGCAAAAATCCAAAGATCCAGGGCAATGAAGGAGACTCATGGGCCTGCGCAAGCAACTGAGTTAACTTACATTTTAGGGTGCTCTCAACGTCAGAACGTCTTAATACTTTTCATTTACTTTTGCGGCAAACTCTTTAACAATAGGTATGTGTTGAAATGTTGTGTGTGGTCGGTTTGACACTATAGAGAACGATGATCGGCATGTACATGTCAAACTATTCTTAATAGGTCAAGTGTTAAATTTCTTTGACGGGCAACAGGTCAAGCATAATTCAGTGGTTAAATAAATTGCGGAATATCAATTTATGGTGGTTTAAATAACATTACTTCCGATGCAAGTGTACTTCGACAAATAATCAATTGTAATACACTTTCAAAATAATCCAACATCAATTCACACTGAAACGATTCAATGGAATACATAGAACCCCCGCCCAGTGCAGCACCGCTGCAACATGGCAGCATGGGGGGCATGCGAAGAAGTGATAGTCGAGATTGGACAGTTGCCGATATTCAACTGATCACAGTCCCTCAATAGATATAGGGACTGTGAACTGATATCGTTAAATTTATGTTCGGATTGAGGGACTGCGGTTCGGTCTTGAACTT